GGGGGGGGGGGGCGCCAGAGGAAAGAAGATGGGCGGTGTGAGTTTCTTAGTAGAAAGAAAACCTATACCCCTGGCCGCCATCCACATCCCCTGATATACCCCGAAGCCTCAATTATTTAGGAAAATTTACTCTCAGGAACGCAGCCAAGCTGTAGGAAATAAGGCAGAAAGCTTCAAAATGGCCACAACGGTTATCATAAAAACCAGGTAGTAAGTATCAGCCTCTTCCTTGGCAGGAATTCTCTGGTGCTTACTCAGAGACTGTTGGCTTTTATTTTATGCAAGCTTCAACAGTCTGGGGGATCTGGGGGATCTGGTTCTGGGACTTCTCATAGTTTCTACGTCCTCTCTCTAGTAACACTGTTGATCAAGAACTTCCCCCCCAAACACATCAAGCAAAGATGTCCAGGGCCACTTAGTGTAAAGCCACGTGCCTGGCAAGGCTGACCTCAGGGTGTTGCTGTGTTAATAATTGATCTGTCTAATCCTGAATAATCAAACACAGGTTGAGTTAGAGTCACTGTGCTCGGTTTTCAAAAGGAGACCCATGTGCAATCTGTCCTTGAACAGTTTACACCCCAAGTGGTTAAGATAAAATTCGGGTGCTTATTTGAAAGGGGTTTATCACATAGAAAACCCAGTTCGTGCAGAATGCCTAATGCGAGCGGGTAAGCGAAAGCTGTAACCAGACCTCTCTCCACGCGTGCGCTTGGGGTATGTATCAGGGGTGAGGTGCTTTATAAATAAATGATGCCTGAGCAGGCACAGGTAACTTTCCCCAACTGACTCTGTGTCTGGTGTAGGTTTAGTCTCCCAGAGCTAGGAATGTGCCGGCCCCTCCCGTCTGCCCATCATACCACGTGACAGACGAACCATGAAGATCTCTGTTAGAGACCGTGAGTTAGTCCGTGGCCTGGCTCTTGGGGACCTATCAGTGTCAAGGTGGTCATGATTCCCCCTCAAGGGTCCATCGTGGCCCCAGACCCACACAGATGCTTCCTGCTTTCACAGAAGCCTGTGTTACAGACAAAGCAGCTGAGAGCAGAGACCCTTTAGGGCCTCCTAAGTGCCTTTCTGAACACAGGCAGGTTCAAAGTCATGGTGAAAGTGAGCTCTTGGCAGGTTAGTAACATGAGTCAGCTTTAAGGATATCTCAGAGAGCTGAGTGTGCTGAAATTGCTTCTCCTGATGGAGACTTTTCTTAAGTACTTGCTGCACAAGCCCAATCCCATAGGATTTTAGGAGATATTCTCTGAAATGAGGATTCTAAGGCTTAAAAAGTTGAAAAAATTCTGTAAAGCCAGGTTTTTTTTTTTGTTTAACTTGTCTACTGCAGGACTTCACAGAGCCTTTACTGCCCTGATGGACATTGTAAATCTCTAAGGCAAAGGTACTTCCCAGAGTTTCTCACAGATAAGAGAGCGTGCAACCCCAGGGGGTGCTGTTCATATTACATTTTATTATACTGTCTGTGACTGGAACGTCTGGAGTTGTGCAACATGGCAGGCCTGGGACCCCCATCCCCCGACATTCTGGGAAAGTAACATGAAGGAATTTCAGAGTTCAGAAGCTCAGCACTGCTCCATCCCATATGCCTGCATTCATGCTTCTGAATTCTTTGGCTTGGCGTGGGATCAGAGCATGACAGGGCAATAGAATAATTTCTACCTGGGTGGCTCCCAAAAGGCCGCCAGGTGGCTGCTGGTGAGATGTTCAGTGCTTGAGCGGCATTGTCCCAAGGGCTGTGTGGAACCCACAGCCAGCCCTCCAGGGCGAAGGCCCCCGTGTGGCCAGTTGTGCCCAGTGTCAGCCCCAAACAGCCCCACCGCTGTTGCTCCCAGGAAGAACTGCGTGCCGTTTTGTCTCCTAACCAGTTGAGACTTCAGACCCCTCCAACAGATCATTCCGGGCTCCACGGTTGGCTTTGTGGGTGTGGGACTCAGACTTCTCAGTTGATTTTACGTTTATTTCTGACAGGCGGACTGGAACCCCTGGGTCATTTCTTTAGTCCAGTTGGGAGACATCCTAGGTTTGGAAGCTCCTTTTCTGTCCTTGTCACCGATGACTCAAAGGGTCACCTTCCCCCCAAACACATACCTGACTGCACGCACCGTGATGGCATGTGCTCCCGGGATTTCTCACGTGCCTGTCATTTGCCTTGGGGTTTTGGTGGAGCACACTTTCCTTGGAAACTTGGTGAGAGCTGGAGTTCAGTGCTTTGAGGGTCAGGGCAGGGTTCCTCAAGGTAGAGAAGGACTCGGGTCCAAAGGCAGAGGGGTCGTCTTTGAAGCTGGCCACGCCCCTGGAAGCCCCGGCGTGGGGTTACCTTCGCCTGACCCTCCGTGAATGACCCCGAGCGTCTTGTCTGGGCGTCTCACCTGGCTGTGTCATGTCGTGTCCTCTTTTCATCCCTCCCCTTCTCACGCTACATTCCTGTGCATAGACAGTCTGTCTGCCCCCCCCCCCCCTTCTTGGAACTCCGAAACGCGGCTCCTGCTTTCCCCACTCCGAGCACTTGAGACCTTTTCAAAAAGTCTCATTTTGAACTGGCAAAAGAAGTGAAATTCCAGGGCAACACGCATCCGTGCTCCCCCCTCTCCCTGTGCTCCTCCCCCCGAACCAGGCGCTTTCTCTTAGTTCGTTCTGAAATGGATGCTTTGCACACACCCTCCCTTGTTTTTTTCTCTGTCGTCTTGGTGCTTCCGTACCCAGTTCCTTGTTCGGAAGTCCCTGGTTTTACCTGGAAATCCGCAGCAGCGAATGAATTCTTCCCTCCTTCCCTTCCTCCCTCCTCCTATCTCCTCCCAGCCCTCCCTGCCTGTAAGCCTCCCTCCTTCCCAAGGTCCCCGCCATCCTGACCCTCCTTCCCTCCCTGCCCCCGTGGGTATTGACTGGCCTGGAACTTGGTTACACAGGTAAAGTCCTTGCTCGCGTGGGGTAATTTTTGGGCAAAGGAGATAGACGTTAGCAGGTGAGGGAATAGGCATATCTCAGATGGTGATAAAAGGCCATGGAGGAAATTGCACGAGGTTAGGAGCAGGAATGCGGCTGGATGGGGGTGGTGTTGGCCCTCAGACGGAGAAAGCAGAGAGGCTGCTCTGGGGAGGTGGGAACAGCAGGTGGCAGCGGCTGTGAGGTCAGAGGAGTGGGCCAGCATTGGCGGGATTTTGGCAACGTGCCGTGTGATCTGATCTACCTTTTGGAAAGATCACTCTGGCTGTGTTTGAAAACCAGACCGCAGGGAGGCGAGAGGCGGTGAACAAGGGGCTTGCTTCATTTCCGACAAAGCCAGGTGGGAAGAGCGAGAATCCCACACAGCAGGCGGGTTATGGAGGGGTGGCGCATTCGATAGGAGGTCGCCTTCGGTGTCCTTTCGTCATGCGACTCTTTAACATCTACCTGGAATTGTCAAAACGTGATGAGTTCACCAGTAGTTGCTGCCCTGCCGTTGGCTGGAATGAAGGGTGGGCGGCTGCACCTTGTAAGCCGCCAGCAGGTGGGGAGGGTTTGTGCTGGGCGGGCCAGGCGAGGGGAGCTGTGCCACCGACGACACGGTCCCCGCAGAACCGGGGGCTCTCAGGTCATCGGGCCATCTCACCGCAGGCTCCAGGGTGGCGACCCTGTGCCATCAGCCTTGACATTCAGCCACAGACGAGAGGACTGAGGGACGGGGGGAGGCTCGGAACTCCAAGGAGATCCTCGATCCCATTCGGGAAGGTCTTGGGGAGAAGGGACGTGGTCTCGGTGACCCTGGAGCCCCTGTCCGTGACTTGAGGGAACAACAGGTGATGTTGCATTCACGTTTGTGTTTCTCTCCGTAGAAAGAGCACAGAGCAGTCTGGTTTTGAATCTACTTCTCCGTTCTTCACGTGAACTGTTTCCAAAAATCATTTATTGAAATACATTGAATGGATTGGAGTATCTCTCTACATGTTTACCCATTGACATATAGGCACGTGCGGAAATCAGTAGCGTACTTTGAACGTCACCAGCTGGGCCACCCACGTGACTACCACCCGGACCATGCCTGGCATGGAATCATGTTAGCACCCCAGAAGCCCCCGGGTGTCGCCCTCCTGTGTCCCCTCCACCTCCTATGTCCTGTCCTGCCTCCTAACCCCAGAGACTGGTTTTGACTTTCTGTGTAAAAAGAAGTCACACAGGGGTGCCCCTTTGTGCCTGGCTTCTTTGCATCAGCCACCGGCCCGTGAGATCCAGAGCTGCTATTGGGG